GGGGCGTGCCTGCCGCCATCTTTGTCCTCCCTCATCATCTCCCGGCTCCGGGGGTCCTGCTGGGAAACGGGCTGGGGGGCACAACAGGCGGCCTCCCCACAGGGAAGCATTTCCCCGTTCCCCGCCGCCCCCCACCCTTGGCACTACAGCAAGGCGCCATCCCGGCAAACACAGGACCCTCCACAGTACCACCTCCTACTTGCTTTCCTCCGGGCCTGGCTCTTGCCCCAGTCACAGCAACCCAGCCTGCCCCTCCTCCAGACCCCAAAACCTCTTGCCTGAGCAAACAGATAAAACCACAGCAGCCTCCACCTCCTCCAGCTGGTCATGGAACCTCTGGCTGACCCAAGGCCTGCCAGCTCTCCCCTGGGTGCCCAGGTGCAGGGAGGAGCTGTGGGGAGGTAGCCAGTGGCTTGTGGAGAGCCTGTGCTTGATGCAGCTCAGTAAGACTAACAAGGAGTTAATGATGTCCATGGGGTCTGACGCTGCAGTCAAGGTACTGGGCATGATAGAGACCTGTGAGGAGTCCCAATCATGGAGGTAGGGCTGCATCCTTGACTACTTCCAGAAGACATGTTACTGACAATGGAAACTGCCTGAATGGCAGTGACACAGTGTGAGATATTTTAACTGTGACCCAGGAGCATCGTAGTGACATTAGACAGATTCAGTGCTTGACGCCAATGCTGAACTTCTGTCGCTCTCTGGTAGAGAAACTCTTCTGAACTCCTTAATGCCTGCTGGAATCGCACTGCTCCACAGACAAGAGTCACTCTCCCATACTGTGACCCATCGCAGTGAACTGACTACTGTGGGGCCAAGCTGCAATGGATAAACAGCAGACAGCACCGCCTTAGCCGCTCCACTCCTCTTCTGCAAAAACAGACCACTTTCTGCCAGAGAAGCATAGAAGCTTCTATGCAGTTTTCCTCATTAAGTTGCCCAGAAGGGGGGTAGCTGCACAGACCAGACTTCAAGAAAGTCATCATCTGAGTATGACCGAGAATACTGCTTGCTGGTGCCTCACATTCCCTCCAGCAGTCAGAGTCTACCAGGCCTAATGCAGACCACAACCATTCCCTTCAGTCTAGGACTCTGTAGTCAAACAAAGCAAAGTCAAACAGTGCTGTGAGCAGGGGGATGCCTTTCTGGAATAGTTGGAAAGAGCAGAATGAATGTCTGTTCTTAGGGAGTCATTTTTATATTGGTAATTGAAAACTCTGCTCAGTTCAGCACATCAGTCTCCTAAATTACACAATACATTTTCAGAACAGCCTGTAAAGCTTGAAAGAAACCAACATAGAAGCTTACAGCCTGTTTCTCCTGCCTAGCTCAAACTCATCCTGGCAAAATAGGCCTCTGCACCACAGCCATTGAAAGGTAACCTTGGGGACCCATCACTGAGAAGAAATAAGAGCTATGCAGCTGACAGCCTCCCCTCCAAGTGAGCCATTCGAAATTCTTATAGGTTTGGAAAGTCCAGTGTATTACTTTCTCTTAGGCCTCCATGGAGGAAGAGCAGGAAAGCAGACCACAAGTGCTGGGGAGCCACACAGAGGGAGAGAGGCCATAGGACCATCTACAGGTTCTTTCCTACAACTGTGAGAGATGGGTGTCTGATTACAAAAGGTGAAAAGCAAGAAGACAGCTCGACAGAACAGATTTGTAAAATGCACTCAATAATCAATCGCAGCTGCTACTGCTGTTACAGAGGGCAGGGCCTTCCTGTGAATTGCTGAGATTTCTTCACAACAAGCTGCCAGAAAGCTATGTAATTGTTAGGCAGTGACTGCTAGGCTTGTGGTTCTTCTGTCTGTGGCATGGCTCTTGAGGAAAAGGACCCTATGTCAGCAGCAGGAGTGATGCAGACCCTTTGTACAAACCTGGCTGGTGGACAACAGGCCACAGCCAGAAAAATCCATTGCCACTTAACTGCAATCTGAAAAGGAGGGAGAATCGGCATGCAGACCCAAAGCATGACACACAAACCATTCTTGTGAGCTAGACCCACTTCTGAGAGCAGTGGAATGAGCCCATCAAAAGTGGTGGCATTGTCCAGCCAGCCATGCAAGTACAGCACAGGGTATCTCCTTCACAGTCCTCAGGCCTTGGCTGCCGCATGTCCCTAGGGCATGGGGAGCTTCATCTCTGAGAACTTGTACCCACAAGCAACATCCTTTGAGCACTACTTCCTGAGAGCTGGTCCCAGGGAGCTTGTTAACAGCCAAGAGCTCTGGACAGAGCTTGTAGATAAGTGGTAGTTATCAAAGTTGTTTTTCTGGCAGCCCTGACCTGTACCTAATACCAGTTTTGGGGCACAAGCCTTGTTTGGGATAACCCTGTGATCCTGATGTAAATGCTTACCTGGTGGTACATGCATCACCACTCACAGGTCTTGGACCCTCTCCCCTACTCCAGCAGCCAGTAGGATCTGGGGTCTCTTTGCTCTGAGTCACAGCGATAACCTCTGGGGTTTAGCTGGAAATGATGTATTCTCTAGTGAATTTAGACTCTTGTGACTTGCGTCCCAAGTCACTTCTGGTAGGAGGCTCCGTCAGCAGATACCTAATGGGAAAGGAAGAAATTCTCACTGAAATCATCAGCGATAGGTGATGTGGGATGGAGCTCCAAGTGGACATGGTCACACTGGGATGCAGCCCTGGGCCCTCCCTCAGCAGCAGGACTGTCATCCTATTAGCCAAAGCCAGATTGTTGAGATCTTCTCCAAGTCTCTCATGTCTTCTCTAGCAACGCTACTTACCCCTCTGAAAGAGCAGCCCAGCATCTTTCAAGGCTGCATATCTCCTCCCATATTGTCTGGCAAACCACCCTCGGGATGAGGGCCCTGTGCAGGATGCATGGCAAAAATTGGATGGCTCATAGAATTCTTTTTGCTGCATCTACTTCTAAGAAGTGCTGCAGGCAACTGAGGTGGAATTGCTGCCTGCAGAGGACCAAATTAGACTCTACCTGGAAAGGTGCTGGGGCGTTGGCTGGGCTGCACTGGGGTGGTAGCAAAGAAAGGCTGGTTTTGTGTAAAGAACTGGGAGTTACTTTGAGATATCCCATGTGTTTAGAAAAGGATAATTTAATCTCTGAGTCCTTGCAAAGGAGGAGGAGACCTGTAAGGGTGAACACTGAGACATGCAAAGCTGTTATGCTCGGCTGACTTGGAACAGCATTGATCAGTTTGTGCTAGCTGCAGATCTGGTGAGGAAACTTTAAGTACAGCAGATTGATTGCTACCAAGGGACAGATTCCCCATAGCTGGTTGGATCCAAACATTGAAGTACTGACATATTGATCTATTTATGGTGATTTATTAGCAATAGCCCTGTACCCCAAACTCTCTTGTGCAGTTATACAAGTAAAAAGAAAGCATGTTATTGCTAGCTTAACTGATTTCTTTCAGAGGATATATAGAGGATATACCTCTATATAAAGTCACATTGTGAGCATATGTTACAGTCTATAGTGGACAGGAAAATAAAAGTGATCACAGGGCAGCATGTATCACATAAACAGCTCCAACAGTTCCCAGGCTTTGGGTATGCAGACAGCTGGCAGGTCTGGGGTGCTGTTGGGGCCCACAGAGCTGTTCTCCATCTGGGACAAGGATCAGCTTCTTCCCTGCTCCAGCAGCCCAGAGCAGGGGAAGGATCCCTGCAAGCACAAGGGAGAAATCTGGTGAGTGCAGAGCTGTTGGTGTTGGGTGTGGGCGCTGCTCAGGCAGCCCACAGTGGGGTTGGTGGGAGCAGACAGGCACTTAATGACCACAGGGAAGTCCCCACCTCTCCAGTGCATGGATCCCTAATGAGTCTTCTGTCCTACATCATGCACACTGCTTGGTGTCCCCCTGCCTGAGAGAAGCTGTCCTCTCATCCCTGCCCTCTGCACAAGGTTGCAGAGGTGAAGACTTTTATCCTCTAATTTGACTTGTTCTGGAAGGAGTAAAGGACTTATGAAAAGGAGGGGTCTCAGTGAGAGCCTGAATCACAGATCTTCACTTTGCAGACATTTCCCAGTGAACATCTCCCTCCCTTGCTCCCCATCCACAAACCTTGCTTGCCTTGGAGATGATGTCAGGGAGTCACAAGGGTTTAAATGAGCTGCCTACATGAGAAGAGTCGAGGTAGGATATAAATGTCCTGCTACCCCTGGGCTCTGCTCAACAGCAGCAGACCCATGCAGGTACTTGGTGTGGTATACTTTACCTTTGGTTTTCCCTAATTCCATGTTGAATTTCACTGATGTGAATAATTTTCTGATGACTGACATATTAAGCACAAAAAAAGCTATGATGTCTTAAGATGATTTATATTCCCTTGCTGCAGGCATATGCCTGTTGCATTCTTTATGCCAGAGCTCTCCAGCCCTGCAGAAGGGCATAAATAGATGCTGGCTCTTTACCTACCACAGTCTGGGGCCAATGTGATACTTTAAATGGAACTCTTTGTTTAAGTTAATAAACCAAGCTATCAGTGGTTGGAAGAGTGGTGTGCATCTGCTGCAGGGATTAACCTGCAGCAGAATTTGGATAGTGGGGCTGCTGGAGTGTTAAATCATCCCCACGTGAACCACCACCATTCAGCTGGAAGCAGCCCCAGGCACACACCATGCATCAGCTCCAAGTGGTGTACATTTGTATCACTTTATTTGCAACTAATGAAATAGCTAGAAACATTTATTGCATATGAATTATATATGAGCACCCATCATACAAATAAACTCTTTCCTGTCTCAGCTTTCTGTTTCCTCTTTAATCAGAAAATCTTTTATATTTGGGACAGGTTCAGGAGTCTCTGCTGGTTCCTATCCCCTGGGCATGTTTTGGTTAACTAGCAAGGCGAACTACTCTCCAGGTCTCTATAAAACCCATACACACCGTTAAGAGCAAGCACCTATTTTAATGTATGAAGCAGCAGGGGAAGGAG